CCAGGCGCTAATGCCCAGTGCCCACCCAGGCTAATGCGCGCGCACACGTTTGAACTTTCTACGGAAGTGTTCCATTTCTACGGAAGCATTGAAGTTCTACGGAAGAGCTACATTTCTACGGAACAGCGACGGCTTATACCACGGAAGAGCTAGATTTCTACGGAACAAGCTCGCGACTGTTTCCACAGAACAGCTATTTTTCTAAGGAACGATCGCAGATTTACAAGGAACGATTGCAGAATTCTAAGGAAAGATGTTCAATTCTAAAAATAACAGTTGTATTTTTACAGAACGACACTACATTTTCAAGTAGAAGCGTTGTCCCTTGTGGGCCACCGTACTATACCATAAACAGTATCTGTCAATTTTGTCATGAATAGTCACCCTTCATTCAATAATTCACTTGAAATCCCTATGTTAATGTTTGATGTCACAGCCATATTACAATATGATCAGAACCTTACCTCACCAACAAGGTCTGCTGCCATTAGCTGCAGTTCTTTTTGAAGTTTACTCAAATCTTCATCTGAGATACCTGTAGCATTACACAAGGATATCTTGGGGCTCCTGCAACAAAAAAATTACAAAGAGAGAGAGAGAGAGAGAGAGAGAGAGAGTAGAATTTTATTTTAACAGATGCACTCAAGATTTGATATTTATGAATAAATATGCCCATAAACTGATAATTAAAAACAAAGACTGCAATTCAGTAAGAATCAACATGACTGATGTTATGTCACTCACATATTTTTCAACTTTGCATGAATAATATTAAAGCAATAGACCACACTTTCTACAGGTTTACCAGCTTGATAACCCACTTAGGATGTTGGCAGAAAACTCGCAAAGCTTGTAAATCACCAGCCAAAGGCGAGTGATTTACAAGCTTTTTGAGTGTTCTCCCAACCTCCTAAGTGGGTTATCACACCGGTAAACCCATAGAAAGTGTGGTCTATTGCTGTTATAAAATAACTTTAAGTTTTCTATGAGTTTACCAGCACAATAAATCATACGTTTTTAACCATTCAGAACGTACGTACTATCTTAGTTATTTTATAAATATTTATATAATGCGATTAGACATAACATTTCAGTAAATTAAAAATAGTGTGACTAGATATCAAACAATCCACCAGGCATATTCAAAAAATTTATAACTCTTTAGTCAACTTACCTATCAGGATAATCTGCTGAATATTGTACAATCAATTCAACTCTAGCATACACCTCCTTAGCAACAACACTCTGCAGGGGTGTTAGTTTCAAACACACTTTGGGTGGATCCTCAGGCTAAGGAAGATGTAAGATAATATAAAAAAGAAGTGAAAACAAAAAAAAACCCTAACCTCTACTCAAGTTGCATCAAATCATATGGAATCAGAGCATACATTTACATTAGCATTAGTAATTTTGTTATTAGCAGCACATCGACATGTATACTATATTTAATGAAAAAAGTTGTTGGTTTTGAATATTCCTCAGAGAATCTATAATGAAACTTTCTGTTACTTATAGACCATATTTTCACTAACATTTAATCAGTCATGTTAACAGATAAAACTCTAGTGCTATGAAGATACTTTCTCAGTTAGGAGCAATGGTTGACCTGAATTTCACAGACAAATGGCAGATGTTAATTTATTCAAATTATTATGAATTTAAATGAATCAACCTCTGTTCTTGATTTTCTAACTTAGTTTTGTTCAGGATGGCTTGTGTAGGAGCCTGGTTAGAATCCTCTTAGATGTAAATTGTACTCAAAAAGGGCAATCAAACACAAGGATATGTTTTATGGAAGTGTATTGACCTCATTATTTCTATGTGTTTTGCCAATTTACCAGACAAGCTGTCAACATGTTCGTCAGATGTCAGCTCGTGATCAATAATATTTAAAATGAGTAAACCATAACAGAAACCTAGAACCCCTTCTCAAGTAATGCTTGGTGCAAAACCATTTGTGTGAAAATGACTTCAATTTACATGTAAAAGTAAACTTTTATTCATATGAAAAAGGATGAGCACCAGAACTCGCTTTGAAAAACAGGCCAAAGGAAATTTGGAAACAGCTGGCTAAAATTTCAAGGAGGTTACCTTTTCACGAAGATCTTGAAAGTCGTCCATATATATCGCTTGAATAGCTTGAAGCTCATTTTCCTGTCTTTCGCTGCAGCTTTCTTCCATTTCAAGAAGATTACTACAATATTTTTTGTGTAATATTGCTAGTACAGTAAACAAATACCAGCTTCAAAGTCCTTGTTGAATCCCACGCTGATTAAACACATTATTTTCCCCACAGGATTTCTTCTGGATCTTCTTTTCGCAACGAAGTAGTCTAAGAACATTGTAGTGAACAAAACAAGTGGAGTCGTGAAGAAAAAGATACAACAGCAACAGAGAAAGTAACATACATGTCACTGGCGGTTCTCGTCCGCCATATTGATAATTACAATCAGAGAGAACCTGGAGCTGAGTTGATTTTTGGCCAATAGGAATTTTTCGCTAACGTGCAAGTCTGTAAGTAAAATCGACATAAAACCCCAGCAATACCATATGAGAGCTCCGATTTATTAAGAAACGGCCGACACACTGCAAAGGCCCTTTTCCATTTTGCCTCTTATTTTTCCTAGTCATTTTGGGGCTGTAGACGGCCGAGCAGTTTTAAAAAAAGCTGGGTGTCAAGGTGTTGTCAAGGTGCGGCTTCGGCTTAGCTTCGGCCTGCGTCACTTTCCCCATTTGCCTGTCACGCTCACCTCACGTGAACATTTGACGTTTCTGGGTTTGGAGACGCATCGTACGGACAATTACCGAAAATGTCGGATAAGCAGCAGTTGTTAGTACTATTAATTATTTTGGGAGGAAGCAGTCTAGTGACGGTCGCATTTGAGTGTACTGCTGGCGAGGGTTATGATGGATGTGCTTGCTACGTGGAGAAAAATAACACGAAGATTTATGTAAACCTTCTGCCCCTCAAGGAAAATTCTTCCACACCAAGGTAGCAATGCGAGAGTCTGTTTGCTTTGCTTTATTTGCAATGAAAGGTGAAATGAGTTGCATATTTGTATGTATAGTCAATATCACGGGTGGTGGGTGTGGTGGTGGTGGTTTAGGAGTTATTTCTATGATGGCAAGGAAACTTTCTGGTTCAGCAAAGACGTTGCATTTATAGCACTTGACAGGCATATGAAAGGCGTACCTTTTCTGCCAAAAAATAGTATATAAAAGGGTAAGGGGTGGAACGTCTGGGCAGAGCCTCTCTATATAAAACTTTGTTGACTGCACCCCAACAGCTCTCCCTCCCCTTACCCCATGGGGGTTGATATGAAGAAATAGCAGTCTAATCTCCAGCAGGGGACAAATCTACAGTGTCACTGGGTAGTAGTACAACTGTCTCTTTTCCCCTGCTGCTAGCTGGCATATTAATTATGTCACTGGTGCTCTAAGAATATTGTACCACTAAAAATTCTTTAACCATACAACTGACAAATTACTCAGCAGGGCCCAGTTGTTCGAAGGCTGATTAGCGCTTAAACCAGGGATAAATTTAACGCGGGTTTCTTTTTCTTGTGTTCAATGCATTTGCTCGGATAATTTTCTCGGTTATTTTAAGAGCTTCCAATCATCAACTTGTAGGCAAAAAGAATTAAAACTAAAACGCCTTTTAAGATTTCAAATCTAAATTCAAATCTTGCACTAACCCTGGGTTATCTTAACCCAGCTTTGAACAACTCGGCCCAGGTTTCTTTGAGCACCTGACATTCAATTAACTGGCCACTTGACAATCTTGTCAGGGACACTATCAAAGCTAGGTCTTGTCTTTGCTTGCAGATTTACAGTCAAAGATAAGGATTTATGGTTTATTTCCTACAGTCCGTGTGGTGTATTTAGTGAGTTTGCAAACAAGACCCGGCCTGGTGTTAAATCATGTGTTAATGCCTCTGTAAGTACGCAGCTGGAAAATATATTCACTCTACCACGGCTGAAAGAATGTAGCTAACTAACATGTTCTATATATTTATATTTTTTTTATTCACACTTTTATTATTATTTTTAAATATTATTAATGCTTTATTACAACACATAAAGTGCAAAATATGTACGTACAAATAATGAAACAAAACAAAAATAAAATAGAAAAGGACAGAAACAAAAAACTTACATAATAACAATGGATGCGTGAGCGTATCATGTTATTTCAGTAAATAGTACAAAATTTCATTGTTCCATGATTTTTGTTATTGTAACCATTTTATTTCCTACTTTTCAGGTTGCGAGATGGACAAATGAATCTGTCCTTAGCTGTGAAAGTCTGGGTAATGATGCAAATTCAGAGTTTGTTAGCTCTGTTGCAGGAGATGCTGGAGGGAATGTAAAGGCAAACCTCACCTTGAAGTTTAGGTTACAAAATATTAAATGTGATGTTTTTTCTCCTTTCTCTTGTTACTCAGTATACTTATTTTTGCACTTCGCATGTCTTTTTTGCTGCTTCCCCTGAGCACTCTCACCAAGTCAAGAATTTAGCTAAATGAGGTCATATACCTTTTGCATAATACTTCATTGTTATTTATAATATTGCAGGAGCGGAGCTGCTGAACGTCATTCTGCTGTTATTTCATTGGTGTGTAACGAAACTCTGCCAGAAAACGAGACAGTGTTTGAATACATTAACACAGTGAATATTCCCACCGACATATATGTAAGTGCCCTCACTTTTCCAGGACATTCTTGCTTTCACATTTTTAAAGCCATGTTAATAATAGCAAGAGCACAGGAATAGCAGATCAAAAATAGTAACTTTCAGGAAAATCTGATTATCAAGAATTCCATTTTGGTTAAAAACAGAAAGTAGTTTCTGAGTTTAAATAGGTTCAAATAAATTTCATCCAGCTAAAAGATCTTTAAGGGCTGGAAAGAAAGTTTAAGAAAAAATAAGAAAATGGTAATATTAAAACCAGGCTGAGTTCCATAATTTGAATTATGACAATTTATGATAAATACACGAAGTGGTGTCAATTTCTATCTGCAGTATCTAGCATTAACAAGTAAATGCTGTTGCCCAGGAAAATGTGGAACTCCTCCAGGTAAGAAATAAGATTTAAGTTTTAATATATGCTACAGGCTCGGTGCAAAACAGAACAATGTATGTAGGTTAACAGAAAATACATTTATTGCATTACACTGCTGCCCAGTTTTGATTTCTTTGAATGATACAGACATTTCTTTTACATAACAAGGATTCCTCTGCAGGACTGACAGAGATGAAATCAGGTGCTACCAAGCTAAATCGTATAACATTTTCTTTTAAAATATCACAGTTAATGTCCCTGACTTGTTTCAGCAGTTGATTCCCAGGTTAACCCTGAAACATTCTAACATTGTTTTTTTCTGGTTTAATTTATCTTCAGCACTTCCTACTCCCACAACCAAGCCAACAGGTCTGTTGATCACATTTAATCTTTTAGCTTAATTGTATAACATTTTCTTTTAAAATATCACAGTTAAGTCTGTGACTTGTTTCAGCAGTTGATTCCCAGGTTAACCCTGAAACATTCTAACATTGTTTTTTTCTGGTTTAATTTATCTTCAGCAATTCCTACCAAGCCAACAGGTCTGTTGATCACATTTAATCTTTTAGCTTAATTGTATAACATTTTCTTTTAAAATATCACAGTTAAGTCTGTGACTTGTTTCAGCAGTTGATTCCCAGGTTAACCCTGAAACATTCTAACATTGTTTTTTTCTGGTTTAATTTATCTTCAGCAATTCCTACCAAGCCAACAGGTCTGTTGATCACATTTAATCTTTTAGCTTAATTGTATAACATTTTCTTTTAAAATATCACAGTTAAGTCTGTGACTTGTTTCAGCAGTTGATTCCCAGGTTAACCCTGAAACATTCTAACATTGTTTTTTTCTGGTTTAATTTATCTTCAGCAATTCCTACCAAGCCAACAGGTCTGTTGATCACATTTAATCTTTTAGCTAAATTGTATAACATTTTCTTTTAAAATATCACAGTTAAGTCTGTGACTTGTTTCAGCAGTTGATTCCCAGGTTAACCCTGAAACATTCTAACATTGTTTTTTTCTGGTTTAATTTATCTTCAGCAATTCCTACCAAGCCAACAGGTCTGTTGATCACATTTAATCTTTTAGCTAAATTGTATAACATTTTCTTTTAAAATATCACAGTTAAGTCTGTGACTTGTTTCAGCAGTTGATTCCCAGGTTAACCCTGAAACATTCTAACATTGTTTTTTTCTGGTTTAATTTATCTTCAGCAATTCCTACCAAGCCAACAGGTCTGTTGATCACATTTAATCTTTTAGCTAAATTGTATAACATTTTCTTTTAAAATATCACAGTTAAGTCTGTGACTTGTTTCAGCAGTTGATTCCCAGGTTAACCCTGAAACATTCTAACATTGTTTTTTTCTGGTTTAATTTATCTTCAGCAATTCCTACCAAGCCAACAGGTCTGTTGATCACATTTAATCTTTTTTCTTTTGCATCAGTCCATCATGACCAGCAACATTTTAGCATTAAACTGGGACATCAAGCACATAGTGTGCTTATAGTGTAACATAGGTGGTATTTGACTGGTATTTTAACATTTCCTGTCGCAAATCTGGGCACCCAGAACTGATCAGGACTTAATGTTAGTAACAAACAATGGTAAGAGTCTCTCAAAACACAGGGATGGCAGAGCTGGGGTACGCTTTCCTTGCAGAAGAGTCTCTCAGCATTTAAGTCACTTGTCAGCCTCCCCCTCCCCATGTGGAAAAATGTAAATGTTCCACCATCCTTGATACGAACTTAGGGATTTTTTGTAGTTAATTTTTTTTTCCTTTGCTATTTTTAGAAAACAAATCGCCACCTTCAGGCTCCCTCAAAACCTGGGAGATAATATTGATTGTTGCTGCAGGTGTGGTAGTTCTTGTGCTGATTGTTGTTGGAATGGTTTGGTACTACTGTAAAAAGAAACCTGGATATGAAGCAGTTTAGGAACAGGAATAATGATACTCTTTCTGCTGAGCTTAGTAGGAGTAAAACTCTGTTATATATAGTAATAACGAGGTGTAACTAAAAAAACTCAGCTGGAAAGAATATGGAAAGTAAAGAGGAAAGCTTGAAATAAGTAGTATTTAAAATAATAATGTAATTAATATTAATTTCATTTTTAGGCAGCAAAATATAGAATTTCCATTTAAAGTAGTACCTGAACACGATAATCATTTCCTTAGAATAATAATTTATTTAAAAGTAAGCTTAACTCTCGCCAAGACAGACACCACTGGGAATGGAATGAAATCAACCTCAGGTCTGCTATCTTTCTTGACACTTGCTTTTCAAAATAGCATTTATCTCTACTAAGAGAATACATGTTGCATTTGTCAAACACAGCTGCCTTGTTATTGCTCTGATTGTCTTACTATAGACAGGCTTAATGATGGTTTATGCTGCAACAACTATAGGTGTGTAGAAAAGTTCTCCATTATATAGAGGTAGCAATGAAATTAAGGGAGTTGACTGTATAACTATTTTGTTTTTGTGATTATTTTTGTTTTTCAATGAAAAGATTTAGTGCTTCAGTTCATATGTGCCGTTTTTAACAAGAAAGGTAAGAAAATCAGGGGCAAATCTCACAGACTTATCTACATATATGATAAAATTATTATATTCCACCTTTTGACTTATTTCTCAGTTATTGCTTTTTCTACAGCTGGCTAAACCATCTAATATAAAATAATGATAAGTTTTGTTTGTGTACAAAATAATATGGTTTTTGGAATTTCTATGAGCAGCGGAACTGATTTTTCTTCAATGCTTGGATTACTCTTGCTGAATTAATCAACTTCTTTGACTGATGAGGACATCTTTGTCACCATTATAATTTATGGCCTTAAAAATGGCACAGTGAGCCAAAAAGGATTCATCCATGTCTGTGTGTAAACAAAAAGGAAAAAAATGGTTAGAGTGAAGCTAACCTGGCAGCTTACTAGTATTATTGATTTCTTGAAAACTACAACTAATAATATTAATAACAATGGTCTTCAAACTACAAGAATTTATTTGAAATAACTACAGGCCACGATAAAGATGTTTAAATGCTAGTGGATGATCGAACAAAGAACAACTACACGGGAGCAGCCCATTTAAAGACACAGGAGGAAAATCTGGCTGAAGTGGCCTTGTTTAGAAATGACTGTTTCTGCGTTGTTATGTAAATCATGTTGTTCTTAGCATAATTTACATAACAAAGGAAATGCCTTTGCAAGGTTTAAGCCTCACATGCACTCAGAAGCTAAGCCCACAACTGTGAAAAGTTTTATCACTAAGAAACTTTACCTGGAGGCTCTTAAGTAACGTGAACTTAGTTCAAGCCTTTCTATGCTTAACGCACATATACTTACTAATTAAAAAGATAATACATTTAGCTACTTTAATATCATTCACTGTGAAACAGCTTGTTTATACTGTAGTTTCGGAGTTCTGACTCACTTAGTTTCTAGGGAACACAAGTCATTAGACCATGCATAAAAAGACTTGATTATAAAGTCATCTGCTTGTAGTTCACTAATTGCACTCTTTTAGGCATAAAGTAATAGAATTATTGTCAAATGATTTAACAGATTCATAGTTCACCTCCTGCAGCATTTGATAGCTCCACCCAGTCAGCTAACCACATTACCAGGGCCTCTGGGTCAACATCACTGGTGTCCAGGCCTCTTGAGTGACATACCTGACAGAAAAGGAACGAGGTTAATTCAATAATGAAACTTTAATGAGTACTATTTGCTTTCAATAAATTTGGCTGTTTTTTTGCGATACTTAAACAATAAAAATAGAGTATGATAAACTTATCTAATGAAAGTGCTACACCAAGATGTGAGACTGTTACATATATTTTATTATACAGACACAAGTGTTTTACTGGAAAATATACCACTCGTAAAATTCATAAAAACTACATCTGGGACCCGAGTGGCTTATTTTCCATAATCTCACACGTGAGTTTATCGATGACGTAATTTCGGTAATTTCCCTCTATTATTTTATCGATGTCTTTTTGTTGATATAATAAAAAGAACACTACACGGCGGCTTGAAGATATGAATTTTATTTTCTCGTGGCAAAAACAATATTTTACTCACTCGCTGCGCTCGTTCGTAAAATATTGTTTTGCCACTCAAAAATAAAATTCATATCTTCCCGCCACCGTGTAATATCCTCTATATAAACAAGGAAGCATAGTAAAAATAACTCACATCTTTCAGTTGTTGTTCATTAAGACTCTCCAGTCCTTCTCTCTTTATAGCAGCATCTTCTTTTTGTATTGCTTGTAAAAGTTTCTTCAATCGAGCTCGCATAAACCTCTTTGGAAGCCATGGGCTAATAAGCCAGACCTGACTAAGTTTTTTCTGGATAAAAACAAAAAGAAAATTCTCAGTGCCATTATATTTTTTGCTTGTTATGATTTACTGTTAGCTAATGCCCTCACCAGATGGTAGCGAGGTAGGTGATCAAAGCTGAGAAGTTCTCCCTTAAAAAATTCCACTGCACTTAGAAGCTCTTCATTTGAAGGATGCTGCTTGTTCACAACCTGAAAGAAATATCAAGTACAGATTAATTTTAATAAATATTAAGTTACTTTCAGCACTAAATGTGTACTGTCATTAAGTTGCTAAAACCAGTGATGTGGCAGGTAACAGCACTCACCAGAGGTGAGACAAATAATTTGTCCCACATGAAGTGAAATTTGAGCCCATATTTTCTCTAATAAGGTTTGAACAACTGGTGCCAAAACTTTAAGTGCTTTGATGATGCTGAAAATGGATGACAGCGTGAATAATGAAGTTGGTAAATTTAAGGTTAAGTTTTCAACAAGGGAGTGGGGAAAACAGTGTGTCACTATCAGCATCTCACGCAGCAGTAAGACATGTACGCTAACATTTTTAACTGCATCTACATAGATGATCTGCAACCATTCGAAATCATGGAACTTAGTCACCTGCACCCAAGCCTCAACATGATGTTGATGTATCACAGCTAAAAGATAATTAAAAACATTATGTACCTTAACTGAAGTAGACATTAGATCTGTTGATTGGCAGTTAATGTTTGCTTTGTGACTCAAGGCTAACCTTCCAACTTCTCTGACAACAGGAAGATAATATCTTGTTCGTCTTCTGACATCCTGCAAAGCAAACTTTTCCCATTGGTGTGGCTGCCAGTAATGACGGGATAGCAGCTGCTTGGGATACAGGAAGCTGGAAAATTAATAGACACAAAGAATCTATGACTTGAATATACACAATTTAATAATGAGCAGTGGTGGATGACAGTCTTGATTAAGAAAAAGATTCTAGTGCAATCCGGCACCAACGAAATTGATGACTGGTGATTTCATTAGCATTGTAAATGTAGATGAAGTCTTGGGTTTGCATTTATTACCCAATCAGGTATTTACCGGTATGGTCATTGCAATTACCATGAAAAAAGAGCACTTACGCTACAAGGGGAACAGCATAGCCCAAGAATGGAATAAAGAAAGCTACCACAACTGGCAAACTCTTAAGAAGGTCTTTCCTTGTCTAAAAAAGAACAGAGGGCAATATTAGTAAGTCAGAGTTCATTACAAAAAGTTTTAAAATCATCCCGTCCCCAACTTGAAAGAAATTCCAGTTCTAAATTTCTTATGTTGAAAGATTTCACCAAGCACTAAACAATGAAAATAAGCTATAAATACATGATGTTTGGGCAATAGTTTGTCACCATTAACTTATAATTTCATGTGTAAATAATGTACTTGTTAAAAAGGCTAACATTACAGTGTAATGAAATAATGTGTGAGGAAAAAATATTGCTGTAAATAATGGACTAATCAGTGAAAAGCCCCGCACCCCCATACCCGGGGAAAAACAGGGCATTAGACCATACATACCTTCTAAATGAAGCAAATTCCCCACTATGGGGGCAATTCTGTGTGTCAATAATAGTACAATGTTGACCAAAATCAATTTATTTCAAGAAATAAAGAATTAAACTTTTACAAATAGTAAGGTGAACAATGCTCTCCATCTCTCACACAGCCAAAAGTGTAAAGTTGAACAAAAAACTACCTTAAGTTACAGATTTGGAGGGGTGGTGAATGGTCCATTAAAATTTTAACTGCTCGCAAAATTGTACCTTTGCTCGATTTGCTCGCAAAATGTAAACGAGTGCTCGCTTGCTCGTGCTCCTCCAATTTTTGCGTTGCTCGCAAGCTCGCAAAGCAAATTTTTTATTTCTGCTCATGCTTGCAGAAAAATCGCAGTGCTCGGCATGCTCATGAATGCTCGCAAAGACCATTCGTCACCCCTATTTGGAATTCCAAACTTCATAATCTCTCCAAGTGATTATGGTTGCATGGGACCTCCAGCTTATATGCCTACCCAGAACAATATTTCAGTTATTTCCCATAAGAAGCAATGTTTATATGCTTCTGTTCCCCTACCCCTGGGCCCATGCCATACCTATTCAAGATAGTCTGAAGGACAAATCCCTGTCTACAGTCCGGAATATCCCTAAATTTAAGGACAGGGCCAACTGGTCACGCGACACTTTTCAACCAGTGAGAAGGCGCGCTTGTGTTTATCAACAAACAAATCAAAACATCGCCCCAGTGATCAAAAATTTTCAAAACAACGGACGGAGTCGGACAGAATTAGTCATCGTTTCGGGGCTCTCAGGCATATTTTTAAGACTTTTCATGAGACATACACAATTTTTTTAAGTGGACAGCGTATCGGAAGCCATATTGGAAGTGTCTCGTGAAATATTCAGCACATTTTGTGGCTTATTTCTTCTTTTATCTTTTAAACAACGCGATGTATAGGCGAGTTTTGGGTCGGTTTTCAAGGTAGGTGAACAAGGATCTATTATTTTTTCGATTCACAGATTTTTTACGAAGTTCTACATATTTTTTCCTCGATTGTCATATCGATTAACTTTTGTCATGTTGAATGTGGGGATGGTAGACAACCTAGAATTTTGGTAGACAACTTTTGAATTCCGAGGTCCAAAAACACGCACGTTTTCCACTCCCGTGTTTCTCACAGAGCCGTGTTATTACTTTTTTTCGCATTAGTACGAGCCTTTGCCTTTTTTCTTGTCAAGGCCAAAACAACTTTATTAGTCTTATGGATATTCACGTCCAACATCTCGCCTCACTTTGCCGAATTTGCAGGGATGAAATTAAAGATCATAAGCGCAAGGTAGATACTAACCGCTTTGTTTCTGAAATTCACTAATCTGGAAAGATTTAATGTTGTTGGATTCTCCAAATGTTCATCCACCGTTAAAAACAATCAAAGAAACATGGCAAATCTCAATTATGAATGATGTGTTTCGCTACTCATTGAACATGCACTGATTATCTGGGATAAAATTAAAACATTGCAGGTACTACAGCAGGCAAAGAAAGCACCAGAGGCGTGAAGTCAACGCGAAACAACACAAAAAAACAAACAAGAAAAATTAAAAAAATTATACTACTTTCTATTCTTGTTATGATGACTGGTTCTTTGATTCTTGTCCTGTAGAAGTTAATGGGTAGTACCAATCCTGTTTTGTATGATCTCAACAAATTTTCACACTCTCTTTTAAGGCTATTTTTTACACGGGACCAGTTTGCTTTTATCAAAAATCTTGCAAGCCATGACAGTGAAGCCACAACCTCTGCGATCGGTCCGGAATCAGTTCGATCACCCCAATGATTCCTTGCAATGATTAATGCTCTTATTCTCTTACAAAAAATGTTTTCTTTGAAATACTAAATGTGAAACCTAGACGAGTACTGTAAGCTCATCTTTAATTCTGTCCGACTCCGTCCGTTGTTTTGAAAATTTTTGATCACTGGGGCGATGTTTTGATTTGTTTGTTGATAAACACAAGCGCGCCTTCTCATTGGTTGAAAAGTGTCGCGTGACCAGTTGGCCCTGTCCTTAAATTTAGGGATATTCCAGACTGGTCTAAGCCCCGCTATTAGTCCCCACTAGCTGATACTTGCGTCTTATACTGTCGAAAACCCCACATAGCGTGGGAAAGTGACAGTCTAAAACCGCTGAAATCTCCTGCTACTGCCCCGCATTTCCCGGGTATGGGGGTGCAGGGCTTTCCACTGATTAGTGCATAACTAAGTGAAAAGTGTTACAGGAGTGGTGTGTCTGAGCACAGGCAGACCAAGCCTATTTAGCATACTATGGACGACATAACATACATGAGGTGTTGTGTTTCACTGGTGGGTTTGAAGAGTATGAAGCTGCAAAGGAGGCTGGGTTTGTATGGGATAACAACAGATTTTAATTTTCAAAGAAGAATTCCCTGTTCAAGGGACAATAAAGTGCTGAGATCAGCAGAATTTGGGCAAAAAAGCAGTTAAATGACAAGGAAGACGAACTGATGAAGCATCACTACCCAGATCTGGGTAGTGCTTCCATTGATTGAGCAAATTTTCAGCCAATCAAAAGCACTACCCAGATCTTGGTAGTTATGTGTTTTGAGTATGGAATTCTTGTGACTTGTTTATCTCAGACAACATTTCACCGGGAAATCAGTGGTGGTGTCACGAAAAGTCAACTGTTTTCTCAAGCTACAATATTAAGATGGTAACTTACTTGGGTTGTGATCCCATACAAACCTTCATAATCTTTGAACTAAACGTTGTACAGAACACCTTACATATATCGTTGTGTTTAAAGTGCCCATTGTATGCTAAAATTGTGCTTGGACGCCCTGTGGTTTGAATGTTCTAAGAGTCTGTCTTTTTTCGGTATCAGAGGCACCTCATAAATAAGGCACTCAAATTTTACAGAGCATTTCTTTAAAGTGGTAAATATTTTCTGAAGATTGATCCGCGGCCTTTAATTATGTTTTCCAGCACGCATCACTTTGTCCTTCAAAGACCAGAAATCTGTTGAAGTTATTTCTTTGATTACCTGATGTAAATGGATAATTTCCTCTGTTTTCAGACCATCCCAATTGTAATTACTATTTTTCAACTTCTTCTGTATATCAAACATGAGCTTCACATCCTTGCCTAACTGTTTACTTCCAGCAACAAAAGTGTCGACAACTTTACGAAATTTTTGAACCCGTGAATCTCCCCTTGTTGAATTCGCAGAAGATGTAGAAAAGTTTGTAGTTTGATTACTATCCAAGCAACGGTAAATGCTTCCAACTTGTTTTACACAGATGAACTTTACTTGTTGAGGTATATGGCGCTGGCAAGTTGTGAACACACGGTAACCTTCCGTTATCCGACAACCGAACATCGTCGCCATATTTTATGGAGGCAAAGGCTAAGGCAAAGGCGAGCAAGCCTGGGTATAACAACATTAAATATTGAGGTGAGGGAGGGGTAGGAGGGGGAGGGGCTAGAGGGAAAAAAAGTAACATTTCTTATGACGTCATGGAGAACTTGTCCAGTTATATAGTTTGATATCGTATTTACACTACTACTCACCCCTGCCTAACACCAACCAACACCTCGCCTTCGCCCTTATTAGCCCTTATTAGCCCAATATCAACACCAGGGCGGACAAAGGTTTGTCCGGCCTGAGCAACACGTTTTCAACCGCTCCAACCTAACTCCAACCCAACTCCAACCCCAGCCCTCTCCCCTCTCCTCCTACGGTATCTCTCCCTCAAACTATGGCCCAGTCTTCCCACGCGTGACCCCAAAGATGGCGGACGGTTCAAGTTCAAGTATGTCTTGAAATGAAATTACTTTTTCTTGACAACTTCATCTCTACTAACGAAAATCAGCTATGTTCTATGGTCTTTCTACTAGAAATGTGCTCCGTGCAAGGACATTTTTCAATCAAGATAGTTTGACGACTGTAACAAGAGGTCTTCGCCTATTCCAAACGAGCCTTTGCCGCCATGAAAATTACAGCAAATCCTGGCTTTCTAAGGCTTCAAATGTTATTTCTAACGAGGGCGAAGCTTTGTTGAAAAGCTCGTTCAAAAGGACCAGTGGTCTTGTACAAGCTTTTGATGACCTGCTGGGGTTTTCTGAAGTTCAAGAGGCACAGTCCGGCGTCAAGAAAGCGGAGAATGATTTCATGAATACTCGAAGTCAAGTGCAGGCAACGAAAATGGCGCTATACTCTGTGCAGGAAAGACTCCGAGAAGTACGTCAGAAATTAGACCGGGTTCCTCGTGATGACGAGCGTTATCTAACACTGGCGACCGAAGAACACAAGATACTGGTTGAAGAAAAAAAGATGAAGACTGAACATGAAAGCTTGGAGGCACTGGAAAGAGATCAGTTTGCCCTGTTATCAGGAGCCGTTCGAAATTCCCATGAGAGAGAGCGACTAAGAGCAGAAAGGACCAAACACTGGTCTGTGATTGGGTCTATTGGAGGAGCAGCACTTGGTAAGCTCACCCTTAGTACTAAGCTCCCTCCTTTCACGATTACCCAGGTGCATTCCTCTGGGAATATATGGGGTGGGGTTGGAGTTAGACTTTGGGGTTTTGTTGACAACTTTGGTGGTACAGACTGTAAGTATATTCCCAGTAATAATAATAATAACATAATATGGACTTTTTTGAGTATCATTGCATTTAGCACTGAAGTACTAATTGCCCTTGGGACACTATTATGTCTCCAACTGGAGACAGGACCACCATTTTATGCAGTCATCCAAGCCACTTGAAGATCTAACCGCCTGCACAGGGCAAAGGAAGTACGATCATTTCTCACTTGACTTGCTTGGTTCTCTTAGCCCACACCCTAATCTAAAACTTTTTATCAGAGCAACATGAGGCTTAAAAGCCCTACCCTTTGTGAAGGGGGTGGGGAGGGGGAAGCAGGAAGGGGGCACATGCAGCAGAGTATGCTGATTTAGTAGAGTACTGGATTGTAGAGTGAGAGGTTGTAAGTTTGATCCCTGGGGCTGGATTAAAATACCTGGGAAGTGATGACACTGTCTTTACCCTGCAAATAACTATACCTTCACATGACTTGGATTGTTTGTAGAGATGGCATTCCCTTCTCCAATAGGAACTTAAGGGTAGGTCCCCCTCTCTAATAGGCCCTCCCCACTTTAAGTTGGTAATTACAAAGCTGCAAAAGTCATTAAGCTTTGTATGATTAAAATTTGCCAATGTTTGATGAAACCCTACCTGTGGACTGACAAAATGATTGGACACTTCAAATGCTAAAGACTAATTTGCAATGTAATTAATTTCAGCTTAATGTATGCCTTATAATTTTTCTGGTTTGTCTGAGTGCAATGGCAACCTGATCTGCCATGGCAAGATATATGTCCTTTCCAAAAAGCAAAGTAATCATTATGCCTTCACTTCACTGACAGTGATATGTTCATGTTGTTATTTTGCCAGGGATTCTAGGTTCCACTGTTGTTAACTACATTCGCTTGAAGCAGATTAAAAACTCAATCAAAGAAACTGGAACTGCATTAATAGAAAAAACGGATGAACTTACAGATCTCGTAAAATCACAGGATGGGGAAAATATTGGAATCCAAGCAACTGAGCTGAAGGAGTTCTTTTCAACACAAAATCAGTTACTGGAACAAAAGCTTGAGGAATTAGGACATGTCTTAAATTTTGTTACTTTGAATTTAGCATCTGAGCCTCTTAAAGAATTTGGAATTCAAATTCAACCTCCAGGTGCAAATAAAACCTTTGGTGGTGGACAACCTTCAGGTGCAAGTCAAACCAAAAGTAATATCAAGGATATAATTGAAATAGTTGCATCAAAAATTGATTCTGTCACTGCTGGAATGAAAATAAATCAAAGGAAAATGGAGGATGGCTTTAGGGCACTGCAGCTAAATCTGGAGAGAGTGGAGAACTCAGTACTTCAAAAGGAGAAAAGGACTACAGGAATGGAATTAATGGAGCTTGATAAATCAAAAAACAATCAAACTTTACCTGCTAGAAGAGTTAGAGAAGCTGTCATTGATGAATATTTGGACAATAATTACTGGTGGATGAAGGCCAACACTTGCACAACTATAATCTGCACAGTATTGACTGCAACTATTCTAATATATGAGATTGTCAAATAAGAGCACAAACTTTGCCATTTTGGCGTCCATTCTTTTTACTCTTAGAGTATATCAACACACTCCAAACTTTGTTGGAAACAGGGGACCAATAGACCTCTCAAGTATTTTTAAAGACAATTCGTCCTCATGCTCAGATATTAAAATACATTATATGAATAAATTAATGATCCCATTCATGTTTGCAGAAATGCTGAATATAGAGAAATAATATTATATTACTATAAAAGTAACAAAACAAAAGATCAACTAAACTGATTTTGTTGCAACACCAACTAGAACAGCTTTTTTTTTTGGAATGCAGTGGGGAAAAATTGCTGTGCATTTTGCGGAGCTAATGTTTTTTTAAAAACCCTTAAAAGGGTTGACATAGGCAAATGTTTCAAGAATCCAAAGACAGACCTTAAAAAAAGGCACGCTTTGTTAAAAAATGATCTCATAGAATATCAACCACACTTGGCCTAAAAACTACTTAGAAACAGCATTCATAGTTTTGACAAAAAAGTGATTCTTCAAAAGAGATAATTTCTCTTGGCAAATACCAAATATCAAAAGTTTCCCAAGTTACTTTGCTAGAGACACTCTGATCTTTAAAACAGTACTATGCATCAAACTTCAATCTACTGCTAGTTTGCATGTAAGCATTGACATTTTGAGAAAATCATTTTTTATGTATTTATTCAAGGTTGAAAATTGGTGGTCAGTCAGTTTAAAAAACTCCCTTGAGCCACTGCCTTAGGTTAGCAAGAATACTGGTGTGTTCAACTGTGGTATTTATGTGACTCTTAACACAGACTGGAGATATTACGGTAAGAAATTTAAAGAATCATGATTATGTAATGGTTTAAACTCTGTGAGTTAACCTTACTCACTATCACATGCCTTTTCTACTTTAGTTTCAGTTTCTACAGAGTGATGTATGGTCCCTCCTCAAGGGAATGTAGATGGCTACAGAGTAAGTGATTTATTACTTATTGCTTGAGAGCAAAACTATGTTTTAACCTATTAAGATCAGCAGTTTTATGTGTAAGAGGCTCCAGAAGAACTAAACATGAGTTGAACACTGATTTTAGCAGGGCAAAAATTGCAAATGTGATTGGAAAGATAAAGCAGACAAATTTCAAGCATTGTTTTGAATATTTTTCTCTTTTTTTTACCCGAGCCTGAGGCTTTTTATTTTAGATACATTTTTATCAATGATTTTGTGATGGCTTTTATCTTATGCTTGTATACTGTAATCTTACTCTTATTGGATGTTTTTTAATAAAGTTTTATTTCCAGTTTTTAATTAAAAAAATTTATTACTAACAAGAATGTCAGACTATATATTATTGATCAGGTAACACCAATTTACTGTACTGTACTAATAAGAATAAGAGGTAATTTATCATTTTGTTTGGTGCAATCACTTCTCTTTTGTTCTTCCTTTTTTGTATACTTCCCTGCTTTCCAGAGCTGAAAACTTTTTAATTGTGGATTATCTCATTATTCATGGATAAGAAGGTGGTAAGGAGCATGTATTTTACATTAGGGGTTACTTTGGGTGTTGCTCCCTGAAAAGTTGGTGGAGTGTGGGCTCTTTTCTTGAATAGCAGCTGGTAACCGAGTCTAGCAGGACATCTAGACAAAAACTTGTTGTTCTCTGCCAGTATTAAGCCCCCTTCTCTTTAAAGCCACCCTCCCCTTCCCCCTTATTCTTAAATAAAACACTGTACTTACAGTTGAACCCTCATTAAGCTGCCATCCTCGGGTTACTGGCAAGTAGCCACTTTATGGAGGTTAGCTGCTCAATAGAGGTATGTCATAAATCAGCATCATCTTTAGCAGAAACATCACTTTATTTTGAAATAAACATGCAATGTATGGTTTATTCACGTGCTTGAAGTATGGATTTGTTCCTTATCTTGACTGCATTACCTCTAACCTCATGAACCTGACCCTTTCTACTGTGTGTTCTAGTTCTGTATGGAAAATTTATGCCATCAACTTTGCAAAATTGAATAGGCCCCCCTCTCTGTAAATCTCCCCCTCATATGTGCTTGAAATAAAAAGCCCACGAGGGGGGGGGGGC